TCTGAGCAAGCCCCTATGCTCCAAAATTATTTCATTCATCAGATCATAATTTCAAATGATCTCTCTGAACACTTCAGTGAAAACAAATAGTTGCGACAGCCTGTCGTTTCCAAATTCATGACCAACTACTAAATTAAGCCACGTGGCCCAACCGTAAATGTGTCCGAACTTGGTGTGGCTGATTACAACATGGTATGGACATTTCAAGAGCTGGGAAAAGCAGCAACCAGAGGCAGAGAACCGCCAGGGCCCCGTGTCCCCACAGCTTTCATCCGCCCCTCCGCACAGGCGTCAATGCCCCTCACCCACCCCACCCCACTCCTGAAGAGGAGCTGCAACAGCAATCCAGCGGAGCGAGCGCCACTCTGAATTTACTGGAGGGATTCAAGAGTTTTTGATTCAAAAACCCTTTTACGACCGATTTCAAAGTTAATCTCCAGAGGCATAAGTTCTCGACCAACGAAAATTAGTATTTCACACAATACTGTTCACATGACAGCGTCGGTTGCTTTTTTAAAATAATGCCTCTTCAAAGAGAATGAAAATGAAAGGTAACTAATAGGACAGTGGACACAACAAGGGAACTTTACTGGTGATGTGGAAAGTGGACAAGAAAAAAAGGGGAGGGTTCCCCCAATATGGACCACACGCACTGTGCGCTCATTTGGAGCGGCCTTTTGAGAGGAGCCCAACGCTGGGATCTAACCCCAGGAGAGCAAGCAAGCTATAACTAGTCACTTCTCTTAGGACAATGGAGAACAAATGTTGACAGATTATATCAGAACAATTGACCTAAGAGGAAACAAGGTATAGAAGAGCCAATAGAATTGAGTTGTTAAAACATTTCTCACTGAATTCCCATGAGAGACACAGTTACAAAATTGCTCGTGATCAGTGATACAATGTTCCACAACCCATCCCTTCACCAGGGCCTGCTTCTGAGAGAGGCGCTTTTCTTTTCTTCCCTTCCTCCATCTGCTCCCCTCTCTCTCCCTCCCCCTCCCTTCTTCCTTTCGGACATGATGGTTTCCCATATAGGTACCAAACGGTTTTCGTGAATGTCCCGTTACCTCCTTTCAGCACTCAGTTCCTGTCCAGAGTGATCATTTCCAACTACTACTCTTAGAGCAGACCCTTTCTCTATGCGAACTGCCTTCTGTGCCCCAGGGAGCAAGCTAGAATAGAGGATTTACTGGTGCAACAGTGGGTGGCAAGGCCCACCACACACCCCTCCTCCCTCCATCACCCAACTCTGACCGGCACAGCCGGATGTCGGCGTTGCTGGCACCCCGCTTTCCCCAAAACGTAACTCTAGAAACTGGGAATGGGAGTAGAAATTATACTGCTCTCATTTTCCTCCACGGGGAGTATTCTCTGAGTCTTGTTCTTCACTGAGTCCCAGAGGTCCCGCCTGCTCCCAGGCCCCCAAAGCCAACAGCCACCTCCTTCCTCAGGTTATCCTGAAGAGGCTGGCCATTGGACGTTTCTTGTCTTACTTTCTCACTACCCCACTGTAACTTTCTAGGTTCAAGTTTTAAATAAAATGGCTATAATAGAGTCGGATTCACATGGTTCTAGTCTAGTAGGAAAATCCTGTTCTCAAATTAATTTTTTAAAATTTTAAGTGCACCAGGTAATCACAAGCAGGAGGGATCAATGAACAAAACTGATAACTTCTACTGAAAGTAACCATCACTGGAAGCCATAAATAATTCTAACGGGAATTGGAACTATAGTGAGATACCACTTCACCTGACACATATCACATACACAAACACAAATATATATCCAAAGGTTCTGATGATAAACTTTACAAGGAAACAAGCACTGCTAGAAGAAGTTTTAAATTGGCGCAATGCCCAAGAAAGGGAACTTGAAAACTTTCTTTAAAACTGTAGGCAGGGGCTGGAGCAATAGCACAGGTGGTAGGACGTTTGCCCTGCACGCGGCCAACCCGGGTTCGGTTCCCAGCATCCCGTATATATGGGTCCCCTGAGTACCGCCAGGGGTAATCCCTGAGTGCAGAGCCAGGAGTCACCCCTATGCATCGCCAGGTGTGACCCAAAAAGAAAAAAAAAGCTGTATGCATATTCAAACTTACACCTAAATTTTGCATTCCTGAAACACTAACGTAATCACTACCACTCATGTTAAGTATTAGGAAGCAACTCACTGCCAGCAGGTAATCCCCGAAACGCCATAGATGAGGCCAGGGCTATGTGCTTTAAAACAGAAACCAAGGCAAAGCGATGGGGGCGGCGGAGGGGGATGAGAGTGCGGGACACCCTGAATGGCGGCTTCTTTCACACAAAACAAAATTAAACTCAAAACGTAAATATCAAAAATAATTAAATGCATCCAACTCTGTTGTGTAAATATAAAAATGATCTATGTATGGGGCTGGAGTAGCACAACAGGCAGGGCGTCTGTCTTACACGCGGCCGACCCGGGTTCGAGTCTCAGCATCCTATATGGCCCCCAGCACCACCAGGAGTAATTCCTGAGTGGAAGAGCCAGGAGTGACCCCTGAGCATCAATCTCTGGGTGTGACCCAAAAAGAAAAAATATATATATATGTACATATACATATACATGTATAATTATTTTTACTTACATGTTAATTTTATTTAGATACTGTATCACGTACTATATAACACAGGAAAGAAAGCTGCATACCATTAGGAAGAGAGATTTTCAGCCTGAAATCTAACAGGTAAAAGACTTAACCGTCTAGTATAAACCATTCCTTTATGGCTTTTTCAAAGAAAAGCGAAGACACTAAATAACACACGATGAACAAGGAACACTAGGGCACTTCTCTATTGGGGGGAGCAGCTCAGTATTTGCACCAATAATAATAAATTTACTAGCACATCAAACAAATGTATCAAGATGTCTTCAGTGTCCTCAGCTAGACTATAAATTTGTCGCAACGCTGGCTTTCTTCACCACGAACACACATTAACAGAAGTAACTGAAACAAAAACTGTTGAGAAGATGAATGACTTAAAACATTTCAGGGGTTTTCAACAAAAGCTGGCAAAAGCGTGTCGAGATAATCTGCTTTAAAATACAGTCTACACACCGTTCCAAAAATGAAACAAAACAGTACCATCTATCAATAGCACATAAAAAATTCACTTGATTGACACTTAAAAGAGAGATAACTCATGGCCTGAAAGATGGCAGAGCGGGCAGGTTGATTCCCTGGTGCATAGAGTCCACTGAGTTGCGCCTGGAGCAATGCCTGGGTGCTGCCAGGAGGAAATCAGGACACTGGGAGGAGGGAAGACGGAGAAGGAAGGAGGAGGCAGGAGGGGAAAGAGGAGGATCCTTAGTTTCAGCACCTGTGCCTCGTATGTCCAACAACCCCAAGGAATGACTCTCGGGGACACATGCCACTCCGACCAAGAAACTAACCGACTCCAATGTGGGCTTGTCCTGGGGGACCTGACTCTATGGGGGGTCAGGGACCAAAGCCGGGTCAAGCACCTGACAGCTACACTATGCGTGCTTTAATGAGCGTGGTGCCACCTGGTACCTGGCACCAGGGCCCCATCACCCCTGTACCACGGAGCCTAAGCAGCAGAGCACACCCAGATCATAGCACTGAACAGCCAAGATAGGCGGCCTGGGCATCGCTGCAGAGGACGCTGGTGTCTCTGAGCACTGCTTGCACGAGCCCCACCACTCCCAGCCCAAGAAAACTGTTCGTTCAGACAGAAGAAACCCTCCTCTGAAGACACCGACAAATTCCTCTTGAAATGCATCATGTCTCAGGGTTAATTCCATGGGTCACTTCACACCCTCCCTTATCCTGGTTCAGTTTCAGAAAGAAGCAACTATCGTTTCACCAAATTCTAGAAATGTCGCTCAGCTTCTGGAACTCCCTAATTTAGCATTTAAAGTAAAAATCTGATGGAGTAAAACTAAAAAACTTGAGTAACGTGTACTCAAAAACATTTCCAAAGAGAACACTTTCTGTTGTGCCGATTCCTTTGGGGGGATCAGGGGTTCACGGCTGGTTTGCTCAGGGCCTCCCCATAGGCTGAGAGCAAACCAGGGTGAACGGCACTCAAGGCAGGCACCGGAACCCCTGTGCTATCTGACTGGCCTGCCGTTTACTTTCTCATTTTTCCTGTTACTTTTACACCAAAAGAAACAGCTGTGACATTTTAGGTAAGAAACTACTTTTTATAAGTGAGAACTCATTCTGATTATAATTAACAAGGATGAGACCTCTTATCCTACAGCAAAATAAAAAAAGGAATGAAGTTAATTCCATCATCTAATTTTTTTTAAGAGTGACTTTCAAAAGTCATGCCAGACATGTACAGGAAAGAGAGCAGATTCCAACTCCTACAGAGCCCAGTGGTACTTTTACAAGAGCTAGTTTGCTTAACGCAGTTGACAGTCTTTTATTCCGGGTGGGGAGAGAGAGGGTTACTAAATAGGCTTTTAACAACGTAAAAATTGGCTCTCCTTAACTATTGGAATAATGTGAAAATTATTCACGAGCAAAAATCAGGTAGGACGTCAGACAAAAAACTGTCCCACTCACTAACATATTACAATAAATGCAATGTGTGTCAGGCTATTTTAGTAAAATGAGAACAAAAACATGCAAGATTATTAAACCTGCTGCTTCAACAAGTTTAACAAGAAACTTTTACACATGGAACACGGTCCCCTTGTTAAAGTACAGGACTATCATTATAAAAGAACCTTCTGTATCCTGGCAATCATAATCAAAAGATTATAGAATTTATACATCATGAAAAACTAAAAATTTACAGACAATGAAAAAGCAAGGGTTGGCAATTATCCTTGTAAATAACAAACTACTTGAAGTGGTTTAAATTATGGATCTTTGAAACAAGTCTTTCTAGTCTGGGAACATGTATATTTGTCAAAGGGGAGACATTTTCTTAATAGTTCTTAAGAGAATAACAGAAAGCAATTAAAAGCAACTCTGACATTTGCACGGGAGTTATTCTTACCATTGGCAGTGCATTGATGTAGGGATGTACAAGTGAATATCCGGGACCACCAATCACAAGATGCTGATGCTGAGAAAAAGGAAAGTAAAATATTCAGTGTCCCCTAGAATTTAGTTTAAAAGATTTCCCAAATCAAATTTTACATGTATAAAATCCTCTTTAATCTGTAGGGTCTCCACCAGTGAATACCTTTCATACCCCGTATGAATAAGAGTTGCTTATTGTTACTGCTTTTAACAATAAGTAACTGTTATAAACAACAGCAGTTGCTTCTGAGTACAAAATATGTGTCAGAAAATGTATCTCTACAACATTCCTAAAAGGCTGGCAAAGTGAACAACAAAACCACCACCACAACAAAACCCAAAGGAGGTGAATTTGCGAAAAGGGAGCACTCACCCCAACATGCAACTCAACTCTGCAAATGTCACTACATGGCCCGGTGAAGTTATGATCGTTAGTCATGAGTGTGAATGGCATAAGCTTGTATTCTGCTTGAAATGGATGACTTTCAAAGAGTTAAACACCAAAATAGTTCAATCAACACCAAAAATTTTTACATTCTGCTGAGTTTACCCGTTTTCTCAACTGAAAAACCACAGCAACTGTGTCCCACCAACCTTTGTGTAAATATATACGGATAGCACAGGACTGAAGGTAGGCCTTGCCTACGGTCAACTCAAGTGTGACCCCTGACACAGAACCAGGAGGTTAAGTGCTGGGCACAGCCAGGTAGTGGCCCAAAAACCAAAGTAAATAAATGAGCTGTTTTGGTGTTTGCTAGAATGATGATCATCACAGGCTTTACCATGTGAAGTCTTACATGAGTGTAAACTGGTCTGATAAAAAGGAGTAGTGTTTTTACCACACGCATATAGCTGGCAAATTTAGTCAGCAAACCCTAGAAAGATAACAACGCAAACACCGTGTATAATTCCCTTTAAGTCTGTTCCTCCGGTTTTATTATTAGTTGATTGGCTGAACTCTCATTTATACTGACTGTATACCTGCTAGTGCTACTTAAATAACTTTTGGTAGATCTAAAAAGATTGAGGAATTAAAACAGCATTTATTAAATATGACAAGCGGGGAGAACAGCTTGCACGCAGCCAACCTGGGCAGATCCACGGTTCCACATATGGTGCTCCACGCACCACCAGGAATGATCCCTCATCAGCCTGAGCATCCTGGGTGTGACCCAAAAACAAAAAACAACTATGGGCTGAATAAATTCCAGGTAAGGGATGAATAAATTCCTTACATGCACAAGGCACTAAGTTGGATCCCTGGCAACACAGGGCTCTTTGGATGATGCACTCTAACATTTTCTTGTTTCTTGTATTTAGTTTGGGAGTTAGTCATCCTATCACTTCCAGGGGATACACCAGGGCTACCCCTGCCCTCGGAGGGTCCCATCGTGCCAGGGAACAAACTCAGGACCTTGGACACAGCAAGCATGTGATCTAGTGCCTCCGTCCTGCCTCCCATTTTACTCACACTTCCTAGTCAGTTTCTTTGCAGGAATCTTTAAGTCTGTTTCATGGAGTCCGATTGAAACTAACACAATCCATCTACTGCCACACTCAAACACAAGGAAACTTACAGCAGGGAGTGCAAATTCATGGTAACTACACAAGACCTGGGAGGGATGAATGTGAATGCCACCGTTGCTGATAAATTGCCACTCTTCCGAAGACAAGTTGTGTATCAGAGGTTACTGGTAATTTTTAATTGAACTTAAAAACATAAATCATCCAATAGAGAACTGTACGCCAACGCTACCTTGTTCACTTCACTGGGTTGTATGCAAACACACACTCACACAGTTTTGTAAAACACTAAATGAGACCACTCTAGCTGCTAGCCAGAGCTCAAACCCAGGTTCATCACACGCAAGGCAAACACCCGACCCACCGAGCCATAGCTCCAGTCCTCTCTTCCTACTTTTCCATGACTAGTTTGTTTTCCTTTCGTTACTCTCAGGTACCTCTAATCTATCTTGTTTTTTTTTGTTTTTTTTTTTCCATTTATTTATTTTTTACAGAAGCTCCTTACAAGCAAAAGGTGACAAGAGTGATTTCAATATTAAGTAGCTAAGTAAATTTTGGACTCAAGAATTTGAACAGAATTTATCTGCTGCAAATCATCTATTTCAACTGAAGAATTTCTTGCAAGTCATTAGTCTGGTTTCTAAGTTAGATGCTTCTCTAGTCAACTCATTTGTTCATTCCCTGGCTATTGTGTAGTATGTATGTCGAATGTAGCCCACATGATCCTCTGCCATAGAAGAAGAACATATGAAGACAAAGCTGTACGTTGTACAAAGCTATTACCAAAACTAAGGTGCACGTAAAATACTCAAGACAGACATTTCTAGTAGAAATGCCTCCCAGAATAAGCCGATCTATCCAAAGAACAAAAATTATGCAGACCTTCTACATCTGCCTTTCTTCTCACTTGCACACAACCTCTAGTGTCTGCAGAGTGTTTCATCATCAACCTCTGCCGTGACATCACTCACACCTCTTCCATAAAACTCCTTCTGCTCTACTTCTGCCCACCGAAATAGAGCAGATTTCTTCTTTCAAGGTTAAGCCCAAATCTGCTTCTTCCCTGAATGATTCACTCCGCCAGCAAGTGCGGAACAGGAGCCCTCCTTACTACACGCCTTCTTAGCCACAATGCTGCCTTATTCTCTTGTCATGCCTTCCCTATCAAGATTTGAGAACAAGGACCTAGCTGTTCTTCTACCTCCATCACTGAGCTAAGAATCGTCTCCTGAATACACACAGTTCTTTTTTTTTCCCCTTTATTTTATTTTATTTTTTTTTACAGTTGTAAATTTACAATTTTTTGTGCTTTGGTTTCAATTATACAATGATCAGATACCCATCCCTCCACCAGTGCCCATTTTCCACCACCATGGATAATATCCCTCCCACCCCCATCCCCCCATCCCCCCTGTCTCTGTGGCAGGGCAATCCCCTGTGTTCTCTCTCTCCTTTTGGGTGTTGTGGTCTGCAAAAGAGGCATTGAGTGGCAAACATGTTCAGTCCATAGTCTACTTTCGACATACATCTCCCCTCCTGGGAGGATCCTCCAAACATTCTTTATTTGGTGCTCCCTTCTCTATCTGAACTGCCCTTTCCTCTAGGATACCTGGCTGGCCTCTAAGTTATGGAGTAATCGTCCTGGTGCTGATCTCAGCTATTCTTGGGTATTAATCTCATACTTTGTTACTTTATATCCCCCAGATGAATGCAATCTTTCTATGTCTATCCCTCTCTTTCTGACTCATTTCGCTTAGCATGATACTTTCCATATTGTACCACTTGTATGTAAATTTCATGACTTCATCTTTTTTAACAGCTACATAGTACTCCATTGTGTAGATGTACCAAAGTTTCTTTAACCAGTCATCTGTTCTTGGGCATTCAGGTTTCTTCCAGTTTCTGGCTATTGTAAAGAGGAATACACACAGTTCTTAAATCATCTATCGGATTAATTAACAAATGTATATATACAAATACTTTACAATGAAATACAGCCCAGTAAATCACATTGGTGTGAAGAAAAGCAAATTTCAATTTTTAAAATGCTTAAGAAAGTCTACTTATAATACATCAATTTTAATATCCCCATCTAGGAAGTAGCCAATAAAGCTTGATCTTTATTTAAAAAAATAAATAAAAAACAGATGATCAATCATATAAAATGAACATCCATTACCCTGTATACTACATAAACGTAAAATATCTTGCTTTACTTGTTTGTGATAGGCTGGAGCGATAGCACAGTGGGTAGGGCGTTTGCCTTGCATGCGGCCAACATGGCCAAGCCGGGTTTGATTCCTCCACCCCTCTCAAAGAGCCCGGCAAGCTACCGAGAGTATCTTGCCCACAAGACAAAGCCTGGCAAGATTCCCGTAACGTATTCGATATGCCAAACACAGCAACAAGTGTCACAATGGAGATGTTACCGGGCCCGCTCGAGCAAATCGATGAACAACGGGAGGACAGTGACTTGTTATGATGAAATAAATATCTGCAGGCTTAGCTTTTGTCTTAGTTTCGAGTTATAGCTTTTAGGAGTTATAGCTCAGATTTTGGCTAAAATATCAATTTAGTAGGATACTACATCACAGAAAAAGACATGGCAGACATCTAAAATCTACCACCCCCACATAAAAGAAATTTTTTAGGAGATGCAAAACTGTAGAACTTTATTTTGCAAAGACAAAGTACAAATGGCAAGGCACTTGTGCTTTGCATGCCACAGACCAGGGTTGAAAGCCCAGAATCACATATGGAACTGGTACTGAAGGTCACCGGAAGTGATTCCTGAGCATAGAGCCAGAAACAGTAATTACAGACTAAAGCCAAAAGTTTTTAAAATCAAACGTTTTATCAATTAAAACCATTCGCAGTGGTATTAAAGGTTATGCACTAATATTTTCCCATCAAGTTTTCTGCTCACTGACTTTTAATCCTGAACAATCTGACCATGAGAAAATACTTAAGAGTCAAGCTCAGTTTTTGATACCAAAAAGCAGATACAAAATTTGTGCAGTTAAAGAAATATGGGGGAGGGTGGGCCTGTTTTGCTTGTTTGGGGTCCACACCCAGCAAAGGCCCGGATGGGATGCGGGGGGTTGAACCCAGGTCAGCTGCATACAAGGCAAGGGACTGGTCACTCAGAACCCTGTCAGTTCCTTTTCAAACTAAAAGTATTTCCACAAAGTGTTACTATGTAACATTTCTTTTCCTTTTCTAAAAGTTACTAAATGTTACAATTTAAAAGTTATGCCTTAGAAGTGAGACCTAACATTGCTGTCTTTGCAACAAAGTTGGACAGCTAGACCTTTTACAAAGGAGTCTGGGAGGAAGAAACAGGTAGCTTAAGCCTTCGAAGTAAAAAACCTGACATGACTCTTACCAGATTTCTCACTCTTCCAAAGGACCAAGTATCTGATTCAAAATACCAAGAACCTGAATCACTAAGTAGGCTGCAACAAAACAAAACATCTGCTGAACAATGCATTCCCAGCAGAAATAAAAACAGCTCAAGCT